TGATGGTGGAGCCATGATATTATTTTCGGAAATTGTTAATATTTCACGAAATAAGTTACTGAAATCTAAATTTACACTGGTACTATGGGGATTGGATAAAGGGGAGTCTGACATGAAAAGGTACTCACAGTAAGATAGTGATGATGATCAAAACCATTCCTTCTTCTGCTGTGATGTCCTTCCGGTGGTGATCCTTGGTGGTTAGCGACGATGCTTCCTTCCAGGGACGAGGTTCTCGAGATCACGAACAAACGTTTAAAAACGACGAGGATCTATTCAAAAAGACTCCTTCGCGATCCTACCGTCTGCGCCAGTTAAAGTTTGAATCCGGGAAATCTTATTTTTAAAAAGATTTATTTCGGAACAGAACTTAACAAAAATCAAAATTATGTACCAAGTGAACAGTGAGAATTCTAAAGTCAGACTAACTATAAAATATGGAATATAATTCAAGTGAATACGCAAAGTCAGCATCTCGGCACCGTTCTCATGAGAACTCTAGGAATCCGTAACGACGGTGGCTTCAGATATCGCTGAATAAAGGTGGAATCAAATTGTAACTTACAGTAAATAAATGTTAAGAATAAACACAGATTAGTCACAGAGGTGTATATAACAGTGATGAACACTGTTATACACCATGTGCGTGACTATGATGTAATAATCAAATAATGTTTAATTTTTTTTTTCATAGATTACATTTTACAGTAATTTCATAAATAATTCCTATTAATTTTGTGCAAAACAAACGATTTATAAATGATCCCATTAGGACCGTTACGGTTGGGTATGGGTTTCTTGATCGTGTCTTACCAATTTATGTTAAGATATTTTTATCATGGAGCGTTTCTTCGAATAATCGTATGATTCATAATATTCAGTTGAAAAGAATATCAAGAGAGTCTCTTTCTATGGATAGCATATAATTTTTGAATATTTTTTTTATAAATCCAATGGAATTTATTGTTCTAATGTATGTTTTATGCATGTCGGGAAGGAGATTGTATATTTTCCTGGTCAGAAATAGAAAACGACGTTGACATATTGGTATCTGAACTAGGTTTTTCTCCATTGTTCGTGTGAAATAGATGTTGTTTACCCTTTGTAGCAATGCATTATTTTTATACATGTTGATGATAATGTTATATGTATATAATTGCCTCAAATCCAGTACATTCGCTGTGGAAAATAACTGGTTCGATGGGTGAGTATTTTTTTTTTTATAAATTATTTTAAGTATTTTTTTTTGTAGAATGTCTAATTGTTTGAGATGACTGTTTGTAACTCCTCCCCAGCTCAGCGTACTGCAACCGTGACTCCACTGAAGAATAATACACTATTTTCAACTGTGTAATGTCAAGAATTTTTTTCTAGTATTTGAATTTTTTTAACAAACACCTCAATGTTTTGGTAACGTTTGAGATTTGATAGTTCCATCTCAGATGTGAGTCTATGATAATTCCCAAGTATTTTGTTTGATTGACGTTTCGTATTATTGTAGTATGTTGCTGTTCTCCAAATGTAAGCTCATCGTAGTTTGGTGAACCATTCTTATAACTGTATAATGGCAAATAAAATAGTTTATTGAAATTTATGGTCAGTAATTTATGTCGGAACCAATTTATTATATGTACAAAATCCTTTTCGATTTTCTCTTTCAGATCTATCCAAGAGTGTGAAGAATATATAACTGTTGTTTGTTGTTATTCAATTGTAATTGATGCACTTGAAGAACATTTTATTATACTTTTTATATTTTTGTTTTGTGCCATTGCATCGTCATATATAGTGAATGTTTCGTCACCAGCATGTTGCTGATTTGGAACAAGAGCACTTAAATTTATATGGATATCTTCGTTTTCTTCATTTTTTCTCTTTAGATATAAATATTTGATATTATGTGATATATATATTTGTACCTGAATAGAGTGTTACTATATAAAACAAAAAAAAAGTCGCAAGTCTTAAGAAGTTCATTCATTGCTTTTCAATATGAATGTTCATGCAATTGTCATAAGCAGTCATAAGTTTTAAGCTGTAAGAAAAGTTGGCCAACATTCATCTCTTAATTTGCTCTGCGCATGAGCCATGCACTTCCATTTGAAATTTTGGTTTATTTACATTCATTTCAATTAAATAAAAACCAACACAGATATTTGTAACTGCTGACTGATAGAAAAAACAATTCTGTGCAAAATGAGCTAGTGAATAGGGGTGCTTTTCTTATGATATGACAGTCCTTATTATTGCTGCATGAATCACCATTTTCACCTTACAACTTAAAACTTGTGACTTAAAACCTATGACTTAAAACTTAAGACTTAAAACTGCTGCATAAATCCATCATCATAGAAATATATAGAAATACATATATACATTTTTTCGTGTTCATAAATATATCTGAGAATATTCCTTTTCAATACTTTCACCCAATCAAGGGATTCAAACTTGAACAATGGAAACTTGTTATTCTTATAGACCTCAATCGCAGATTCGTGATTAGGTTTTCTCAATTTAGAATTTTTTCCACGTCCAAAAGCAATTGTCAATGATTGATTGTTCTCAAATTGACTATTTATGAAATCTAATTCATTGTGTACCCAAACAAAATATACACTGTCCAATTTGCTCACGAGTTGTGAAGAAACTTATGAAACATTGAAAAGAGTGTAGTACAAAAATGACTGAAGTGGCTCTTTCTATAACTTTCTCCACTTCGTGCGTAAAATGCGATTTAAAACTCTTGTTATGTAATATACTATTTCGTGCATTGATACTAAATGAAATTGAAAGAACTATTTTCAATTATCTTCTGTTTTTCTTTCTGCCAGGACAATTTTTCATTTAACTTTATTCAAATATCCACTGAAACAGTCACTGGATAAATTTTCGTTCATTTTGAGAATGTTATGATCTTATTCTTTGCCTTTCATCTCACTAGCAAGATATCAATAAGTGTTTCGATTTCATTCCATTTTACATCAAAAAGGTAATGTTGGTAAAACTCGATAGTGTTTTTTTGTATGTTCTGGTTTCAACGAAAAGGGATATCCTGTAATATTCAGAGAACATCGTGAGAACCAAAAGATATAAGGTAGGAATTGGTGTTCTTCTTGAATTTCTGGAGGTTACATGCCTCGTGGAACACCTCCTTTGGCAATGTGTTCCAGACCCTCGCTGTTCGTTGGATGAACGAGTCTTTGAAAAAAGATTGTCTGCAGGTCTCCAAAGTGACCACAAAGGGGTGCGAAGCCTCAACTCGACGGGGACTGCCAAGGGAGGAACAATTGTTGATATTTCAGAAGGGCATCGTCCATGAAAATATCTATAAAATAGAGCCAGATCGCCAACTTTTCTACGGTGTTCCAGAGAAGTGAGTGAGTTTGTGAGTGAGGCATCACCCACGAGACCAATTGCCCTTTTTTGGACAGAATCCAACAGTTTCATGGTATGTTTGGGTGCCGCACTCCAAATATGGGAACAGTATTCCAGGACAGTTTTCTGAATATTTGGATTCGGAAATAAGAAAGTATAAATTTTACTAAAAACATGGATTACACAGTTTGCCGTATCTTGAGTCTATCCTACAGAGATGAAATCACGTCAAGAGTGAATTGTGAAAATATCTGCGATAAAATGCTCTTTGCAGACATAGAAAAGGAAGAAGAAGCAGATGATGATTCGGAGTTTTCTGATAACTACATGAATAATTCTTTCGCACCTCTATTTTTCCTCCCGCAATTTATTCATGTTATCGATCAATAATCAATAACGATGAATAGGTCGACTACTCATTTGCAACTAATTTTCTTATTCATTTCAGATGTACAGGAACTGCTAGGCGGCCCTGAAGGAATAAGTATGGAACCCGTACATAAGAGGTCTCGATTAGACACATTCATGTATAAAAATGGCAAAGAAATCCTTAATAGTTAATGCTTTTATATCCAATTGATATATTGTTGAAATTATTGAATCAAGTCAATGATTATTTGTTACAGGCGTAGAAAAACTTGAGAGCGGCCCTGGAGGATCCATGGAGTCTGTGTGTGGGATGAGAATTTCATCAGACTGTGAGATGTTTATCTATATGGAATAAAAATTATGAATTAGTTGACTTTTCAATTTTTTTCAAGAATCACTGATTCCACTAAAACTTCAACACTCTTTTACATGGAAACCAAATGACATACCGAAAAGTATCATAAAATATAAATTGTAGATAATTGTTCCTTCTTGATTTTTTACTACTGGTTCAGTTTTTGTGTGAACGGCTTCCTTTGCGCGTTGAAAACTTAAAACCAATAAAAAACATATTTTTCTGTGCGTTTTTGCTATTTTCTGATATTTGCCGATGAAACTTTTGGTGGACAACTTTAGATTCGTGTTGAGCACATCCAAAAACAAGAAATAAGCCATTGAAAACAATAATTACACTAGAACTTTCCACCCTGAACTACGGTTTGATTAGACTATTTCTTCATCGAAGGAAGCGTTCAAATTCACATAAGGCAAAAGACTGTTACGTGGATACAAAGAAGCTCTATTGCAAATAATGTTCAACTACAGGTCATGTACGAAAAGTTTGCATCAAAACTCTGATGTCTTCAACGCAATTATATTTCGGCACCTCGTCTTCGAGATCACTTGTTCTAGCCAGTTAGTACCATTCTCAGGTACGGTTGATGCCACAATGTATTAAGTAAGATGAAGAGTTTTTTTAATACACCACTCTTCCTTACCGACTGAACCGTGTACGCCATTACGCTTTTTTGTGTACGCGTTGGTGCCACGATATTTTTCCCTTGTTTGATTTTTCTGATATATTTGATAGTTTTTTATTTTTTTTTTTTATATTTTCCTCTTTTAGATAGATGGGGAAGCATAGCAGAAGAGATAGAACTGATCGGAGGAACCGAAAGCTATAATATTGGCGATCACGATCCCCTCCGAGAATGGTTAGCAACAGGAGTTGGACCGTCTCTCTAGGGAATTGGTTGCTCTGAAAGCCAAAATAGAGCGGAATACCGCTCGCTCTCTCCGCAGTAATCAAAGGAGAAAGAGAAATGCTAATGGAGCTACATTTGCCTCCAACAAATTTAACATTGTTGAAGGCCCCAGATATAAACCCTGAAATTCTGAAGGCTATACCTTCGAACACACATAAGAAAGACAAGTTTCAACAGCAGAACCAGAGCCAGTTAGGAAAGGGCCTCGCTGCCCTAGGGGCTGGTATCAACATCCTCTTGAAGGAAGAGGATAATAAAGAAAACAAGAACACAGTTCTTGGCCTCCTTAGTGAGACAGGAAATTTGTTGACAGATGTTCACTACAATATGTCACTGACTAGGAGAGGCCTCATTACACCTACGTTGAGTAAAACTGTCAAAGAGCTGACCAGTGCACCACCTATTGAGAAGCTGTTATTTGGATCCAACCTGGGTGAGCGTATAAAAACAGCAAAAGCTGTTGAGAGATCAGTTGTAGGTCTCGAACCGAAAACAGATACTGTATTCAAAATCCTAGTCAACTACCAAGTACAAGCTCATCAGGTAGTGGTACATATAAGAGAGGTGATTCTTTAAACTGGAGGGGCCCGTTTGAATACAAGAGAGATCACAGACAGAACGGGCAATATCTCCAAACCAAAAAACATTATCAGCCTCCCACTCGGAAGTAGATAAAAAAGGTAAGTTTTTTTCTTTTTGCCTCTATCAATAGAGATCGATTGGGTTTACTGTATGCTCAAATAGTGCTCCAGTGCCGTGTCGAAAAATCAGTCGTAAACGAATTACATAAACCTGGTAGGAAGATATTTAGAAGACTTCGAGTGATAGTGAAAGGTTTGAATGACTTGTATCAGGCTGATCTAGTTGAGATGATACCCTACGCAAAAATAAATAAGGGATACCGCTACATATTGGTTGTAATCAATGTTTTTAGTAAATTGGTATGGTTAAGACCAGTAAAACGTAAAAATGCGAAAGATGTCACAAAAGCAATAAGATATATCCTTGATAATGTTGAAATTAAACCTAAAAATATTCAAACTGATATGGGGAAAGAATTCTACAGAAAGATTTGAGATCGTTAATGGAATCTCTCAACATAAATTAATATAGTACATTTTCAAATTCGAAAGCTATGTGGTGGAGCGGGTGAATCACACTTTGAAGAATTTTATGTGGAAGAAATTCAGTTTGCAGAGTACTTATAAGTGGTTGAATATCCTGAAGAAAATAGAGGATGTATATAATAACACAAAACACAGCACAATTGGAATGAAACCTAAAGATGTGAATTCTGGGAATGAAAACAGATAACTGGAAACTGTATATAGTCGTTTGAAAACTATTAATCCTAGAAAGAATAAATTCAAAGTAGGTGACTTTGTCAGAATAAGCAATTTCAGAGAAGCTTTTTCAAAATCGTATCAGCCTTCTTGGTCTAATGAAGTATTTAGAATTCGACAAGTAAAATTGTCGAACCTCACTACCTACTTGTTAGAAGATCAGAATCAAGAAGAAATTCGGGGAGGTTTCTACAACGAAGAGCTTCAGGAAGTGAAATATCCCAACATCTACTTGGTTGAAAAAGTTTTACAGCGACGTGGAAACAAAATTCGTGTCAAGTGGCTTAGATAATTCTCATAATTCATGGATTGATAAAAAGGAACTTTTGTGAGATACATTTATATTTTTTGGAATAAAACAATCATTCAGATGATAGACAATTTTTATTACGTAATTCTTAGGGGAAACAATTATTCTTATCATTCTTTTCTACTGCACATTTCCAGGTCTTCAGAAAAAATCTCAGGTTATATGTGAATATATTCTAATGCTAAACAGACATTTTCACTATTTGGGTTTTCTAGTGGTCTAATAAGATTTGGTGCATTTTTCAATAGATCTCCATCTTGATTTCGAAGAGCTCTCTGCAAAACTGTGAGGTAGTTCGTAAACTGTAGTCTTCCCATCATTTCCATTTGATATTTTATGAGCGGCAATAGGGTCCACAACATGCAAATAGATTCATAACCCAAGTGGATATAAAACTTATTGTTCTGAATCTTGATAACACTCGTTTCCGAAATTTAATGAAGTATATGGGCTCCGTGGCCGAGTTTGTTTATGCGCTGAAATTCGCTAGATAGCCGTTCACGATGCAGAGGTACTGTCGGTTCGAATCCGGCTATCGGCTGAGCATTTTTCTTTAAAATGTGTGATTCATGGTTGTAATCCTGGCAGCACCTCGATGCCCTAGAAGTGGTTCGGATTCCACTATAAGCTGTAGGTCCCGCTCTTCCTAACCCCGCACAAGTTTCGACTTCTGGGGAGTTGGTTCTCAACTTTGAAGTAGCGATATACAAAATTCATACAAATTCATATCTGGAATGATTCACCATCTAATGATTCTGGATGGTCACTGGGATAGAAATAGTTTGTTATGATTTCTTGGTATCTCAGAAAATCGATCCACTCCCGATTATTGAAGGTGATCGTATCATTTTTTAGTCCAGATATCTTGATGCTTAAAGCATAACCAAAGTCGTAGGATAATCTTGTAGACCCAAACTTGCTCCTTGACTTATTCAAACGTTCTTTTACTTACTAATTTTTCAAGTGAAGTTATTGATTTTAATTCTCACTCTGATTCCAAATAATTTCAATAATGCAAACTCATTTATGATATATTTTTATTTCGTTTATTTCGTCGTCATTCTTATCTCGTTCAGAGTTCAGTTTACAGGTGCGTTTTGTTGTGCCATAACTCAATCCGGTTCTTGGCATTGTACACGTTTTGTTGTGCATTCAAACCCATTCCCATTCCCATTCCTATTCCTTCGCATGAGAAGGTTTGAAAGTTGGAATGACGAATGATAATGTGACATTAAGAATATTTATTGACAATAACAAACTGAAAACTCCATCTTCAATAATCTTTCAAAGTAGGATAATCAGATACAAAAAAATGAATCGAGAACCTCTGAACGGGGAAGTTATTAAAACTGATGATGGGCAATATATTCGGTACAATGCGCAAAGTAAGTTGTGAATATTTTTTTGCAGCCTTCGGAATTTATTGCTCAGCTTATTGAACAATTTATTTTTCAGTAGGGTGTTACGAACTTCTGGAGCTCCAATCTACATTACAGCCGAGATCACAGCCTCCTGACAGTGGTACTAATGAAGTTGAGATAATGGATAATGATATCTCTTCAGGAGATATCTCTTCTGTAGAGGATATCTCTGCAGAGGATACATCGGTTACAGATATGTTTCCAAAAAGAAGATTGTGGGATCTGACCACAACTCTGCTTATGTTGGACGAATGTACAACCCATAAAAAGGAACTAGCAGACCCAAAAATGAGAAATACTGCAGTCTACAAAAAGATTTCCATGAAAATGAAAGAACATGGATACAACTTCACACCAGAGCAAATACAGAACAGAATGAAAACATTAATCAGCAAATACAAAGAAATTAGAGATCACAATGCTGGAAGTGGTAATTCTTTCAAGGATTGGGAGTATTATGAACTGATGGAGAATTATATGGGAAGAGCTCCAAATATAACCCCAGTAGCTTCATGCTCTAGTTTAGGCAATAATATAATAAATGCCATAAATGCAAAGAAAATCATAAAAGAAAAAAACTGTGACACTGATAAAATCTCCAGTTCTACAGTACCTTCACTACAGTCGAGCAGTAAATCTAATGTAATGGTTGATAGAAGTGCTGGAAGTAGTGAAACTCAAAAAAAAACTAAACGTATCCGTTCTAGTCCAAGAGTAGAGATGCTAGCATTTCTCAAAGAATATAAAGAGGATGTTAGAAGGAGGGAACTTGAACGCATGAGAATAATGAAAGAGCAGCATCAAGAAACCAAGGAAATGGTCTCCGAACTGATTTCAATACTCAGAAAATCCAAAGAAAAAGAGTGAAATTAAATACCTACAATGCATTCAATGTATATTTCGTTTTCCTTTTTTGCTTATTCTGGACATGTTGTAATGTCATAAAAATTATAGAATAATGTTAGTTAATTTCCAGTACAAATTATGATAAGAGGAAATAATTTATTTTTGTTATTATGTGGATAATGAAATGCCATTAGTTTTTCGATTTGAGGTTTTATTTTAGTGGGGTACCTACTGGGGAACAATAATATACATATAGTAAAGTATAATATACAGCATATTTCTAAAATTTTGTTTGAATCTGTCTACTTGGTAATGTCAGATCCAAATTCAATTTACAAATACTATCTATTATTCTCCTCTTGCATATCTTGGTACATGATCCCATAAATATTCTGTGAGAGCTTCCCTAATCTGGTGACCATTCATATCATCTCCAATATCATTGTTGAGTGCCTCATTATCTATGAGGTCTACTTGTCTTATTCCTTCCTCAATATAAGAGTTAACTTCTTCTTCATGCATCAAGCATATATTATGAAGTACACAACAAGCTACCACTGTATTCACAATGTGTTGCATGTCTGCCATGTCCAGATAATTGAGGAGTCTTCTAAACCTACCCTTTAGTAAGGCAAAAGCATTCTCTATTTTGACTCGAGTTCTTGAATGTATGGAATTGAAATGTTTTTGTTGTTCAGTTAATAAACCATTTCTTCTGTAAGGAGTAATAACCCAATTTTTACAGGGATAGGCTGAGTCTGCAACAATGAAATAGTGTGGGGCACATAGTTCTTCACCCAATGGGTGAATTTCAGAGGTACGAAATACCCTGGAATCATGTACACTTCCAGGCCACCTACAGTCTACATCCGTGAACATCAGCTTTGATGTACATATGGCTTGTAACACTACCGAATAATATTTCTTTCGATTGAAATAATAAATTCCATCCTGTGAAGGTTTCCTTATTGGTATATGGCTTCCATCTAGTGCTCCTATAGCATTTGGGAGGCCATATCTAGAAAAATTTTGTGATATCATGTGCCGCTCTTGAATGGTAGGCCACTTTATGATAAATTTGCACAAGTATTTTATGATTGCACTAACAACAAGATGTACCGAATTATGCACAGTGCTTTTGGCTACTCCAAATCTATCCCCTATTGAGCGGTAACTTTCAGGTGTTCCTAGTGTCCATAATGTTATAAGTAAGGTTTTTTCCACACATAATTGGGTTTGACCTCCAAAAATATTCTCATCTCGCTTTATGAATTCTGGATATTGGGAGAGGTGTCCTAATACAACTTCAAATGTTGAACGACACATACGGAAATGTGACCTGAAAGTATCCAAATGGAATGAAGGAATTACTTCTTCATAATAATTTCTACTCTTCGGTATCTTCCGATTAACCATCCTGAAATATCAACCATGATTAGATGTATAATTAATATCGAAAGTAGCGCAGACTACATAGTAATGATTTGCTCCAGAATTCCTCCATCCAGATCCAAGGCATTGATGTTGTTAGGTTCCATGTTGATATACACTTGGTAGATGCATGTCATGGAATGTCATGTTACGAATTGATTAGATTGTCATTAAAGAATAATTTACAATTACTTGAATTCAATACAACTACGTATGTATTAGTGGCGAGTTATAGGGTAGAACGCTTGATGTTTGGAGTTAAAACAGCTCCAAATATCTGGCAGAAATTCATGGATTCTATTTTACTTGATTTAGAGGGCACTGCATGTTTCTTTGATGATATCATCGTCCAAGGAGCAACGTTAGAACAAACATTCCACCGATTGAGGATACTCTTAGACAGATTACGATATCATGACCTACATATCAATCCAAAGAAAGCAAGATTTTTCGAGAAATCCGTGAAGTATTTAGGTCACACAATCGATGAAGATGGTCTCCATAAAACCAGTGATAAAATCAAGGATATTTTGAAACTCAAAAGACCGAAAGATGTTCACGAGCTGAGACAGTTTTTGGGAATGGTAAATTTTTATAATAATTTTATACCGGATTTAGCATCAAAATTAAATCCATTGAATAGATTATTACAAAAAGAAGAACAATTTATATGGTCGAGACAATGCGAAATAGCGTTCAACAAGGTCAAACAAGATTTGATAGGAGAACAAGTTTTGGTACATTATGATCTGAATCTTCCGTTAGTTTTGGCAACTGATGCATCTCCAGTGGGAATATCAGCAATATTATCTCACAGATTCAGAAATGGAGAGAGGCCAATTGCTTTTGCATCACGATCTTTAACAAAAGCAGAGCAAAAGTACAGCCAACTAGACAAGGAGGCAACAGCAATATTTTGGGCGTTACATAAATTCTTTCAGTATTGCTATGGTCGAGAATTCATATTAGTAACAGATAATAAACCATTGACAGCGATATTCAGTCCAGACAAACATTTGCCATCCATGGTATCGAGTCGATTATTGAGATACGCACAGTTTCTTTCGGGATTCAATTATACTACCGAGTACCGAAATACGAAAATGAATTCGAATGTTGATTATTTCTCAAGATTTCCGCTCTGCACAGGAAGAGTGGAAGAAAATTATGATGATGAAGGAGAGGTATTACAACTTCATGAAGATAGCTTACCGGTCACGGCAAAAATGATAGCAGAAGAAACCCAGCAGGACACAGAATTGAAGAATTTGTATTTAGCGATTCAAACTGGAAAGTTTGCTAATACGGACTATAAAGGCCAAGAAAGTGAATTTTCAATTGAAAATGGTTGCATTTTACGCGGATTTCGAGTAATGATTCCCAAAATACTACGTGGAGATATACTCAAGGAATTACATTCGGCACATATTGGAATTGTCAAGATGAAGACTCTGGCAAGGAATTATTGCTATTGGAGAAATATCGATCGCGATATAGAAAATTTAGCGAAGAGTTGTGTTGCGTGCTGCAAAGTTCAAAAAGAATGTAGCAAGGCTCCTGTACATTCATGGCCAGAACCTACAACTACGTGGCAAAGAGTACACTTGGACTTCGCTGGACCATTTATGGATCACCATTTTTTAATTTTAGTGGATGCCAAATCTAGATGGTTAGAAGTTGTTCCAATGAAATCAATAACAAGTAAATGTACAGTTGATAACCTCAGAGATATTTTCTGTCGATATGGACTACCATCCGAGATGGTGACAGACAACGGACCATCATTGACATCTTATGAGTTCGAAAAATTCTTGAAATCCAATGGTATTCAACATCTACTTACAGCACCGGGGCACCCAGCAACCAATGGTCTTGCCGAACGGTATGTACAGACAGTAAAAAATGGCTTGAGATCTGCATTGTTAGATAATGGAAATCTCAATGTGAAACTCAACAGACTGCTTATGCAGTACCGGAAAACACCCAATTCAACTACAAATAAAAGCCCAGCGGAATATTTCTTGAACTTCACTTATCGTTCACGATTGGATCTAATCAAAGGACATGAATCAATTAATAATGGAATGAGGACCGAAAGTACATTGAGAACCAGGGAGTTCAATGTAGGTGATACCGTTCAATCTAGAAATTATTCTGATAAATCTGAAAAGTGGAAATTTGGAAAGATTCATGAAAGACTTGGAAAATTACATTATTTAGTGCAAACTGAGGATGGAAAATATATAAGACGACACATAGATCAATTGAGAGCAACGAAAGTAATGGAATTACATGGTTTGCCACCCTCATCTGATAAACGCATCATCACGAAACCCAATCCACAGTTGTTGTTAAGGAGTCGTACTCCATCACCGTGTATGATTTCACATTCACAAACTGCTCCCAATCAAAATCTGGTCCCATCAATATTAAATTCTCGTAGAGACTCGATGTCACCAAATCGTTCGCCCGGTGAAGATAAGCAGGCAGACTTAGAAGAAAGTACTTCTGAATCCAGATCGGCTATGGCTCGGAAGTCACCTGTTAGAAGATCAACTAGAATACGAACCGTTCCGAAACGCTTGAATTTGTAATTTATTTTTTTAGGGGGGAAATGTTAGGTTCCATGTTGATATACACTTGGTAGATGCATGTCATGGAATGTCATGTTACGAATTGATTAGATTGTCATTAAAGAATAATTTACAATTACTTGAATTCAATACAACTACGTATGTATTAGATGTCTTCCATAAATCCCATCATAATTATTTCACCATGGTTCGCTACCATTGCTATCAGATTAGCCAATATTAATTGTTGATCCATGTTACAGAACTTTCATTTTACGATAATTATATATTATATTTATGCCTTTTGGGAAAGATCATTAAAAAACGGCTTCGAATTGAAAAATGAGATGAAATTTCAAAAACGGAATGAAATGTGTCAAATGACTCAAATTGTCTTGTCGAATGTCTATCTTCCATCTATCCATGCAGACCGTTTTCTTGGGCAAGGTCATTCCATTAGTTCTGGAATGGCACAACAAAACGCACCTTACGAAAAATGACAACAAATTTGAAATATCAATCTGAAAACATTTGAAATATACATTTAAATTTGAAATTTCTTTATACTACATTACGTTTCTGAGTTTTGTGAAGATAATTATAACTTCATCTACAACTTTCATAACATCACAAATCGTTTTTAAGTTTTTTTTGATATTTTCTCTTCTTTGACTCAGTTTTTTTCAAATTTCTTGTTTCTTTTCCACCAATTCATCGATATTCATGGACGTATCCATGTCGATATTCCTCTGGTTTTCTTTTCGTACATCAGCAAGGAAATCCCTGGTAGTATTGAGATCTCCATCTTGTGATTCTTGTGTATCTGAATCATCGCCACCTGCTTCTCCTTCGGACATTTCTTCTTCTGCTTCTTCTTCAATGATTGCATTGCCAATTTCTGCTTCTTCCGTTTCACACTTTTCTCCTCTGTTAATTAAATTTACATCTGTTTCTTCATCTCCTCCGGGTTGCAGAACTTCCTCAGCATCTGATGAAATATCTGATATCTTCAAACGAAAAACTTTGGATGTACAAATTCTACACTCTGGTTCAATTGTGGTGAAATACTCGGTGAAATATTCCGAAACGTATCTGACTTTCCGTCAAGTTTGGGGTGTTGTAAATGTTTTATGTTTGTTTTCATTTTTCGTAAACTGAACTCTGAACGAAACAAGAATAACTTTG